TTTTTTTATTGGTCACGAGGTATTTTAAAAAGTTCTTAGTCGCCTTGTTCGTTGTATGTATTTCATTATGCCGGTTATTATATGTGCGAGGTGCGACGCCATTAATCAACCGATAACGAGTATATACGAAACTATATACTGTAACAATATGGTAGACGATGCGTACTTTATCATCGAGAAGTATTGTCGCATGTGGTTGGATGGTAAATCATCGGATTAGTTCACATTGAAATTACTATCACTTTTACACGGCTTTAATTACTGATTGCGTCATACAAATGCATAAACACATTTTTTATCGACTGTTAATAAATAATGAAAATAACAAGATTTAATTAAAGATATTAAATATCAATGATGAACCATCACGGGATAATATTTCCAATAATTTCCGAAGGAAAACCTTCACCTTGCGGCCAGTCACGTCCGCACTAAAACATCATTCGATTTGAACGCACAAGTTTCTTGCGACGTTGAAAAACATTTCGAAGCTCTATTATGATTTTAAAAATAAATTTCAATGTTGTAATTAGTAACAATTTGTATTTAGATGTTTTCGTTAATTATACAAGGACAAAAAAATATATGTTCTTTATGTCTATGGCTATATCCTACAGCCACAAACGTCACGTTTTATGTTACGTAATAAAATTAGCGGGAAAAGTTAATGTCAACGAAATTTATTTAAGTAGTCAAATTTAAGTTAATAATTAGGTAGTTTACTTTTTTAACCTTTAAAAGTTTTGGAAATGTAGATTTTAAGTTATATAAATTATCGAGGAGAATTGGATTTCGTACATCTTCGAAGAATAAATTGATTTTATTAATTTAAATGGTAAATCATCCTAAGGTCTAAAACAAATAGGTGGGAAATAATTTCATCATCGAAATATTTTCATACCACAGCAAGATACTACACTAAACAAAAAAAAACTCGAACCATCGAGCCACCAACGTGTCAATTTTTCTATCATCCGCTCGGAACCAACTTAGCAAAGAATTTTTCATACATCGGATACATTACTCCTTCAATTGTACCCAAATATTTATGTAGTTATTATAAACGAGCAATGTACATTTAATGCTGCAAACAAAATTATCGTTGAAGAATGCAGTGGTAGAACAGTGCGGAGTTCGTGACTCAATCGACGCAAGGGGCCGTCTCCCGCCAGTTTATTCTTTGTTACGTAGTAACAGCGACTTAACATATTTTAATACAATACATTGCAGTTTTAATACCATAACATAACAAGTAACGCTTGCAAAAACATCGATGGATGTTAAAAACTGTTTTCGGTTCGAATAATGTATTTTCGAAAGTTGTTACTAAAATCTTCTGAAAGTATGAAGTTTATACGTTTTTATTATCTGTAACGTTTTCGTTAATGTTACAAAATATAGATTATATTTATTAAATTGATTAGAAACGCAGCGACATACGCACAAAATGGCCGCTTCGTGCCTTATCGTAATGTAATTAACTTGTTTATTATTACAATTACGTTTTTGTTTTCTTTTACAAAAGTTTTTTAATAATTCCAAATTATTGACTTTGAGAAACTTTTTTATGGTTTAAAACTGTAAAATTTCTTCTTCTATCTTTGTAAGATTTGTCCTACAAAGAAGCCGTAGGTGCTTGGAATTAAAAAAAAATGAATTTTAAGAATGTCTTAAGCTAGTCACCTGATTATAGACCATTCTTGTGTGTTTTTTTTTATTATTTTATGCGTTTTTTTTATTTTTCGCTGGTAAATAATTTGTGAGGCTATTTTTGAAAATCATTCGTTATTAAAAAGTTAATAGCACACTTTTTTAAATAATGATAAGTGTATTAAATACACATTTAAATCAGATGTAAACCCAACACAATTAAGTAGTTTAGATAAAGGACAAAATTATATTATTAATACTATTTTTCGCCCGCGACTCCGTCCGCGTGGAATTAAAAAAAAAACAAAAGTGCTTATATGTTATTCCAGACATCACATTTGTGCCAAATTTCATCGAGATCGTTCAGCCGTTTTAGCTACAAACTCAAACATCCATACATCTAAACTTTCGCATTTATAATATTAGTTAGATAGTATCACAAGAGAAATATTTAAAGGATTACTCACGCCGTACTATGACATGTTACGAAATACCACAAATGTGCATAAAGAGATATTTCTCCGTTCTTTAAAATAATTACTTCTATCCCTTTAAATTTTTTCTTTTCTTTAGTTATTTTCGGAATTTCGGTCAGGTTCTTGTAAACAAGATTGTAATAAACTTCAACTAATAAGTATTTTATTGTAACTGTGATTGTTTTGTTTATTGAAATGGTAATAAATATTTATTACACATAAAAATTGGAATAATCACTATGCGATTGTAGACTTCGAAATAATTTTAAAAATGGCGTCTAGATTTACAGTATTAATGTACTGTAAAGTGTAGAGGTTCTCATAATCTAAAAAATCTATCAAGTTTTTTTTTTAATTTCAAAGGTGACCAACGTTTAAAAATCATATCCGCTGAGTCATACGGCCAGCTACATATTTAGTTGCGTTCAGATTACGCGACGTGTATCCGAACGTGCGGCTCTGACGCGATTGCCGCTGTCCCATGTTGCGACGCCACGAAAAATCTTATCTTCTGTTTCAAACGCGTTTATTTGTTTCTCAAGATATTTACGAATGAATAACTTAGTGAATGTTGTATTTAACTGGAAACAAAAAAATGTACTCTTGTATTTTGCTCGTAATTAACTATCGATTAAAGTAAACATCGATTAGTAGGTACATTTACTAGGACCTTAATTAACTATAGCGAGTAAGTTTTAACAAAGTTACCGTAAGAACACTTTAATTGGTTTAAAAATAACATAGTATTGAAGAACGACGGCAATTGTCAAGAAAATAGTTGTACAGAGGATTTCGTACATTTGTAAGATAAGATTGTAGCTTACATCATACTTAAATGTAAAATTGAGGCTAACCAAATATGAATATTTTTTTCGACTATACTAACTAGGAACAGTGAAACACATTTTATGACGTCTGATGACTAAAATTACACCAAGGGACACCTAGTTACTAAAGAGTGTAGCGTATGTATAATAATCAACAAATAGTGCGTGATGTTAAGCAACAAATTTATATAAAACTATTAATATATGTAAATGAAAACTCTTTATAAGAAATTCAAACGAAAAACACACCCACCATATTAAAACAGAGTTCCAAACTCGATAGTTAAAGATTTAATTTTAAATAGTAACACTATCTAGTGTTACTATTTAAATTGATTTGAAGGTGTACCGTTATTTTACTATTACATTGAGTAGTTGTAGAATTAAATTAGATAGATAGTAGGTTCTATACAAAGAAGAAATGAGCAAGCGATATTAAGTTACGAATGTATACAAGCCACGAACGAGTTTTTAGTATCTGTAAAGTGAATACGAATAGATAGAGAAAAGGTGAAGGTAATGGATTTAAACTTGTAATTAGTAATTGAAACACAATATTTAGTCTCTGCTTCTAGCATAGAATCAAAACAGGTGATAAATGTAACGTGAGAATTGTTATTCAAAAGAAAAAGTCAAGAGAGAAATTATTTCATTTAAAAGTAAGTGGTAATATTTACGGGGACGGACGTCCTTGGCGAACATATATCGACCAGATCGACTTACTAAAGAAGGGCGATATTAAACGTATTAAAGTAGAAACTGGCTAACAGTTTGCATAGCTATATGGATAACAAGAAACTAAAAAAATGTTGCTTGGACTTCATTAAAAATCGATACCAGCTGCCTTTGCGTTAAATGTTTTTTTGGAAAAAAGCTATGTTTTTTTAGTTTGATGGATTATATGAGGAATATTTGCGTGAGGAAAGTGATTTTTTTATAATGCATTTTATGTAAATAGTGTTAATAGAAAATCTTAATTTTTATTACAGGTAGATATTTCGAAAACGGGCTATATCTAATAAAGATCGTTCATGCACGATAAAATGACCGACTCATAACATGATCATTGTTACGTGAGCCCGCGACTGATGCTTAAAAAATTATAGACATTTCTTTTTAAAGATATATACTGACAGTTTTCCTATTAACTATACTAATTTAACGTAAATGGTTGGTTGTACGTAATTGGGAATTTAATCGTGTTTTTCAAACATGGTTTGCTCTACTAAATTGTAGTTAGTTATTTAAAGCAACAAAACATTTGCTTGAAATGCAGTGTACTGAATGCAAGAGCGAAACCTCATCAGCTTGAGCGAGACTAGTTTGAGTCGGTACGAGCGACGTCGCGTCGGCGTATCCATTGGGGAAGTGTTCTCCTGGCGTGCGGTCGTGTCTGCAGCCGTGCTAGTGTGAATATCCGAACGCGTTCAGTTATTGTTCGAAATTTAAAAATATTCTATTCCAAATTTAAATGACAGATTAAGTTTTGAAATTGTCATTCGCGTTTTTTTTATTTTTATTTGTTAACGTAATAAATTCAAACGGCCGTGTCATGTTTGCGGTTTTTAAATATCGAACCTATTGTCAAAGGCATTAAGAATTTATAAAACAGATATCTTTTGTTTGTTGAAACAATAAATAAACGTTTCTGTGATAACGTCGACGGATTTTTGTGTCAAAGTGCCGTGATGTCGTGTAACAAATTCAGCACCAAAATGGGTAGGTACACGTTTACATCACTTTTACTAATTATTATTTATTTTTTTTGTAACATCAAATTAACATAAAAAAAACTATCGAACGAATATGCTTTTGTTTTATTTTAACCCATTAATATTCATTAAAATTTATTTTCTCATAACAAAGTAATTATTAATGTAACATAATTATTTTGATTATTTAAAAATAACGTGTTGATTTCCAATGCCAATTGCTTCCACCTCTGTAGAGGTCGTTTTTTTTTTCTCTTTTTTTCCAGCTAACTCCTACAACATAAAATATACATTTATTAAATTATGTAACGAGTTTGTAGCTATTTTTGTAACTATTATTAGGTTTCATCGTATATTTTCCACCATGACTTTAAATTAAGCGATATCAACACATCAAGGTCTTTTAAAAACAAACATGGCTACACCGAGACAGGTTAATAATACAATTTAATAATATTCGTGTGTAATTCAATTTCTAGATTTTTATTATATTTTAAAAAAACTTTCTAGCAAGAAATATACGAACTGTAACATAAATTTAATTTTAATAAATAAAATACCCTGTTGTTTTACGTTTTTGACGATTTATTACATAAATTGTCCTGCACAATATATTCGCTGTAAACAAGTAATGAAAATTACAATTTATTAAGAACCAGATAAATTGACGGGTTTCTTTAATTTGTACTTTACGGAGTTAATTTGAAGGTACAAATTACGCCGCCGGACTTTTGGTTACAAAGATATTTCGTTATTGGTACGCATTTTAGCTCGCTTCGTGGTTTATTTATAAAATGTTTGCTAAGTACATTGCGAAATCACTACATTTGTTAATGATTTCTATATTGAGTATAAGTCTTCACTTTTCTTAGTTTAATTATTTTAAACTACGATAAATATTTATAGATAGAAAATTATAAAAATACGGTGAGTGTATCCAAACGGCCAATACTTTTTATACGTATTGCCATTACAAAATTATATTCGAAATTTAAATCTTATTTGCTTGATTTTACAGAGTATAATTGATAAAACTTTATTTATATTTAAATAAAATAGTGAACGTCTGTGAATGGAATTATTCCTTGAAATTAACGAAGAACCATATTTAATCTGAAAAGTTTTTTATTAAGGAAAAAATATGTATTTTACTTTACAGACATTTAAATTTATACATAAATATAATTAAATGTAAAAATGCTTTTAAATATACATTTTTCGTTTAAAAACGAATAAAAACCGTATTAGATATTTTCCTGTTTGTTGGCAGTAATTATTTTTTGTAATAATTACAATCGTTGGACAAGGTTTTATTTACTTTGTTATTAATAGTTTCATCGTATCTATTAAATTTAAAAGCGAAACTAATACGCCATTCTCCGGTTGTACGCCGCGTCGCTTTTCAAGATGGCGTCTTAATGCCTTATTCCACTAAGGTTGGTTTGGCCGCCATTTATTTTTGACAATTGACTGCCAGTGGAAATATATTCGAGTTATTGTTTAGTAAAAATAAATTTAACATCGCTAAATCTTTCAGTTTAAAAGTAAAGTACTAATTAATAAAAACAACGGAGTTATTTAACTAGTTTTTGCTCGAAAGAGTTTCAAGAAAGTTTTCGACAACTTGTTTAGTTTAATTGAAATTTTTATCCGAAGTCTTTAAAGTGTTCTGTTTCTTATAACCGCGAAATTTAGCAATGTTTTGTCTTTGTTTATTCAAAGGGAAAAAGAGGGATGGACATATTCTATGTTTTACCACACCTCATTATAAAGTTTTAAACAATGATGTTTGTGACGTGATCTGTAACTAATGCAGGCTACACACAATAGGCTTTAATCTTGCAGATATAAACTAGTTTCACAGGTCGAATAGTTTCATCTATGTCAATGCTAATACTAACTTTCGCCCTCGAGTCCGTCCGCATGGAATTAAAAAAACCTAAGTGTTCTTCCAGACTAACCTCTACATCTATACGAAATTTCATCGAAATCCGTTCAGCCGTTTAGGCTACATGTTCTAACAAACATCCATCCATCCATCTAAACTTTCGCATTTATAATATTAGTATGAAGTATGATTATAAAGAGGAGAGATTTGTATTCTTATATTTATTGAAATAACTCAAAAACTACTTGGCCCATTTTAAAATTTCTTTTACCGTTAGAAAGGTAATTTATCTGTGAGTGACATAGGCCAAATTTTTCTTGTTTTAATACACGCCGACGTAGTCGCGTTAGTACATAAAGTTTTGTTACATACCCACTAGAGTTTGCATGCAAGGAAATCCGTCATGTAACCTAACGTGTGTGGACCGCATAATAGTTTTGTCTATTACGGTATTCATAACGCATAATGCATTAAAACTTTTATAGCAAAAGAATGTGGGAATTGATATTATAGTAAATAATATCCAATTGAGTTTTATTATGCTTTGATAACATTTTTTTTTACACTTTTATATTTTTGAGGTCTAGATTCCCATTGCTTGGAAGCCACGGCTATATGCAACTGTCCGCGTGGAATTAAAAAAAATTGAATAGCCCATTTCTTCAAGACTATCCTCTACATCTATACCAAATTTAATTTAACAATTTAACAGTGGTAGTGCCCGCTTTAACATCTTAGCACGAATGGGCCGGCACGCCCCCAGTAATACCATGACCACACAGAAGACAGACGTGAAATGGAAGCAATTCCGTGTTT